AATAATAATGTCAAATGAAATTCCATACTTTGGCCTACCTTCTTTCTTGCTAGTGTTGTTCCATATATGTGCCTGTGCTGCTTAATCCATGTTTTTAAGATAATAATAAATTTTTTTTATATATATAATTTAAAAAATATGAAAAGGGTAAACTGTGACACATCGGAGTTATATGAAACATGGTGTGGTAGAGCAAACATCGAAAACACTAATAGATAGTTATCTACAACATGAAGTGTAACTTGAAGTAGTTAAGTATATATTAGTGGGTTAGTTACAAAATGTGTATTATATAATGGGACTTTGGTAGTTATCCACTAAATATGTTAGTGGGATCTTTTCCGTACGTGTATGGGTGTTTAGCAGTTATTACATATTATCAGTATGTGGTTTGCGTGTCAAAAAGCTATTAATTATGTATTAAGTCATTCTTATTCATTTTTTTATTGTAGGCAATGCATATTTTAATGTGATTACTTGTTAATATTTTTTTAGTGGCCGAAAGACAAACGGAAAAATATAGCCAAATAGATAATTACGGATAAATTGATTTATGCGTTGAAAAAATGAGTTTCACAAATGCTAAAAGGTGGCAATTAATTGAGGGGAAACCATTGCAAATAAAGCTGGACAAGTTAGTTTCAATAGCATTAAAAATGAGCTTCAATTTTAAAAAAAAGGGGATGGTAAATTGATATGAAAAAAATAAATAAATATTAGTTAAGGTAATAATATTAAAATAAATAATAATACGTGTCAAAAAATGTGAGGACTTCTCAAAAATAGTAAAAATGTTGTAGGACCCACATACACCTTTCCAAAAAATAGTAAGTGAGTTGTCTGATTATATAGTAGATAGATTGTTGTACTCTATAACTATTACTATCTTCTTAATATCTGAACACGATATATTACTATTAGTATTACTATTACTATATTATTATTATTATTATTATTATTATTAAATATTTTAGTTTAAATTATTTATCTAATTTTCATAATTTATAATTTATAAATTAAAATAATTATAAGTGTTCGTATGCTTCTTGCCTGAATTTTATAATTTTTTTTATCTTAAATTTTGTGCATAAATATTAAATCTAATAGTAGTGAAATTAAATATAAAGTATTTTAATGACATGTAACTCACAAAACATCATTCATTCTTCATAATAAATAAATAAATGACAACATGTTTGTATAATATATTTTATTTCATTTTCTACAACATACAAATTAAATCTAATTAATCTAGTTAAATCTAATAATAGTGAAATGTTCAATAGAGAGTGTTGGGTACTTCTTAACTGCACGATATAGGGCGAGTATTCTTAACCACTAAACACGATAGAGACTGTAATCTAACGATAGGAATGTAGGTAAATCTTTTTAATATATGAACACGATATATACTATTAAAATTATTATTACAATTACTATATTATTATTATTTAACTGTTGAAGACTGCGATTCAATTTATGTTGTTCATTATCATTTATATTTATATTTATTATTTATTGTTGTACTTTATAACTATTACTATTATTTATAAGTCTTTTGTTTGATAATTTATAATTGTTAATTTTTATTTTATGCAGGAACAACGATTCAGTGACATGAATGAACGCCCAAGTGAAGAGTTTTATTTTTTTATTAGTAATTGTAATTATTAATCTCTCTATATATAATTATTTTTCATTAGTAATTATTTTATTTTTAAGAAACAAAATAAATTGAAGATTCATAAATTTTATAGTTAATCATGCTATTGTAGTTAATTTTTTTGCACGGTGATCTACTCGTATTCATTACAATTCAAATATATATTTTATATTGAAAGTTGTTGATTATTCAAATTATATTATGTCATTCTGCACGGTTGAATTACAATGATGTATTTTTTTTAAAAAAATTCTGACACAAATGAAATGTGCTTGCCGTTTTCAGACTTTTCTAAATTAGAAACTATTTAGTGGGACCCTCAAAGTGAACTTTCTAAAAAAAAATGAAATATGCTTGCCGTTTTCAGACTTTTCTAAATTAGAAACTATTTAGTGGGACCCTCAAAGTGAACTTTCTAAAAAAAAATTGAGTTCCCTAATTATATAGTAAATAGATAAATGCCCTACTTATACATTAATCGAGTCATTGTGAACTCGATTTGGTTTGGCTTGTCTCATTAGGCTTAAGCTATCGAGATATAGGCTCGTCTCATTAGGCTTAACTACCGAGATATAGTTCATTTAAGGCTCTTTTAATTAATAAGTCAAAGTTGAAAAAATGAATCTTTATGTAATTTCTTAAACTTCTAACATAAATCGAGATATAGTTCATTTAAGACTCTTTTAATTAATAAGTCAAAGTTGAAAAAATGAATCTTTATGTAATTTCTTACACTTCTAACATAAATCGAGATATAGTTCATTTAAGGGTCTTTTAATTAATAAGTCAAAGATGAAAAAATGAGTCTTTATGTAATTTCTTAAACTTCTAACATAAATTGACTATTAATTTAACGAGCCGATAACTCGATTGAGCTAGTTTACAACACTATTTACAATTATATGAAAATATCATAATTCAAGAAAATATATGAAAATTTTCCACAACTAAGTTAAGCCATAAATATCTTTCTTCTTTATTAATGTAAAAAAATTAAATTTCAGACACCAACAAAATGATCCATTCTAACTTGAAATTGAATATATTATGTTGAACCAGCCAACCAATACAAAAATCCACTCGCCAACTCAAATCGCAAAGCGCGATAAGAATCTGCACACCAGAGCATGCCGGGTCCGGACCTGCACATGATCTATACTTGCTATGTTCTTTGTTTTTTTTTTTTTTNTGCCCTGTTCAATTAGAGTTTTTCTAAAGAATTCGGGTGGATTTCACCAGTGCCCAGATTATCGTCAACGTTTACTAATAAACTAATGATAATATGGTGTTTAGAAATATTGACATTTAGGGGAACATTTGGAGACAAATAGATAATTGGAATCATATATGCGATTCTTGTTTTACCTCATGTAAGTTATTATCTTTATTGAGTGAGCCTGTGGAAATAAGACTTCAAAATTCAAATAAGTTGCTGATTGGATTAAAATGACTAGCTCAATTTCTGGGTTTACAGTAGTTTCTAAATATCCAGTTGTTATGTTTGTATTACATCCTAAACATAGTGATAGATTCGTGTAGAAATACTGGTAGTTTTTGTATATTGATTTATATGCATCGAATTTTCTCGTTTTATTAAGGATGGTAAAACGATCTGGACCCAACCTGACCTGGCTTGGCCCGGAGCATTTGGGCCAAGTCTGGATTGCCCTATTTGTAAACTAGGCCGGGGGCGGGTCCAATCCGTTAGGAAAACGGGCCAGGTCAGGATACTATGTATTGCCCCGCCAGGCTGTTTAATATATATATTTATATCTCTCTTATCTATATATGAAAATGTGTATGGCCTTTAAATGGCGACAAGTAGCGGATTCCCTTGCTTGACAAGTGGCTAATTTATATGCATTACCTAAACGTAAATACTTAGGTACACCTAGTTAGGTGTGCCACAAATGAACATGTTATGTTACAAAATGAACATGTTATGTTACAAAATGAACATGTGCAAATCATGTTTGTACATGTTCATTTTGTAACATAACATGTTCATTTTAAACTGCCCTGGCACACCTAGCTACCTAGGTACACGACAGTAGCACTGTTACCTAAATGCCTCTCAGTTGCCCTGATTTTTTCTGCCTTTTAAGGTCGGGCATGTAATTTGATTTGCCACTTGCTTTGCCAGAAAATCTGATTTGCTTTTTGACTTTTGTTCCTCTGCACGCAGAAATCTCGCGCACGTAAGATTGAGATAGAAACATCTCCCCCTTTTTACAAACCCTACCCAAAGCAACTACTCTTTTAAGTTTTATCACTCTCATTTCCTGAGCAGCGGCAATGAGGACGCAGCGGCGATGTTCTCGGCAGTTTCGATGGTACCGACACCTCCTATCAGTTGTCATTCTTTGCAAATCAAATCTTTTCACCTCTTCCTCCTTTCACAAAAAAATCTTCTTCGTAGGAATGGGTACGTTTTATTTTTTATTTTTCTTATCCATTAATATTTTCAGCTCACATATTTCCTTTATCTTAAGCTCTTAGTTCTGGAGCATTTTCTACAGTGACTTTCGGAGATGCCAGCGATAATTTCCAAAATCTCGCGTTCTTCAGCCGAAGATCTTCTACTTTTGGAATCAAATTAAACAGAGTCGCAAGAACTGGTGAGGCTTCTGCGTTGGTGTTGATCATCAAAGATCGATAACCCCTGGAATGTTTGGAATCTATCGCGGCCTGGTGACAGAAAGTGATGACCAGCTCTGGCAATCAGCACGGCGGCGCCGCGACATTCAGATCTCAAAATTTTCAGTAGCTCGCGGGTCGAGGTAGGCGAGTGGAGTTTCGTTAGGTCTAAAGAACAAGTCGACCTCATTCCGTTAGTTTCACCACTTCCCTCAATTAGCCAAGTTGTTTATGTTTTTTAGGGTTTCTGAACTGTCAATAAAAGGGCTTTGGTAAAATGGTGTAGTAATTTTAGTGATGAATTTATTTATTTATTTATTTAAAGAATCAAGTTGTGTGTTGATTTTGTTGCTATTTGATTTTTGGACAGTAATTTTAGTTTTTGCTTTGCTTCCTCAAGGTCTTCGTGAAAAATGACATTTGATTTTGTCCCTACGGTGATAGCCCTAAATCAATGGAAGATAGTCCTCATTGGAGAGTCGCTCTTTCGTTGATTGAGGTCTGAAATACGTCGGTCGGTCATTCACGGCAATTGATGCTCGCCGTCTTTTTCTTTTCCCCAACGACAGGTATGTCCATATTTTTTACAGTTCCAAATTAGAGACAAAATCACATAGGGGAAAATGAGTTCACTAAGCTTGTTGGATTTGATGATGCAAAGGGTGATGATGGTAGACGGAATTGAAGGTGTCGGTAGCGTGTACGCTGCGCGCCTGGGGCACTTTCTTCTGGACGAGCAACACCCCGAAGACAATGGTTGAGATGTATGGTCCGGCTGTGGTGGCCGACATCCCGACGAGGTATGCCGAAGAACAACTCTGACTGATTTTTTAAAGTCTGATTGTTCAAGGATTTCCTGGAGAGAAGAAATAACGGCGAGAGGGACGCCTTCGTTTTCTCAACGTGGAAAGTTGAGGGCTCAAACTGGTTGGCTGTTTAAAGGTATTGATGAAAGCTCGGTTTGGAATTGGACCGTAGCTGTGGGCACAGTGAGAGTGTCTTTATATTCTGATGTTTTTCTTTGAGCTGAATTTGGCAACATGAGTGCTGATAAAAACAAGTCTTGCAAGTTTTTCCCCTTTTGGTGCCAAAAACCAAGGTCCTTGATTGGGTTAGTACTTCCTTTTTTGCAGTATGCTCTGAATCTTAAGGAGTATGACATTGCCAAGCAACTGAGAAACAAGCTGATTGAGGTTTGATTATGCAAATGGTTACTGTTTATGCTTCACAGAACTGATAAGAAAAAAAAATGCAAAAATATCTAATTGGTATTTGATGAGGCACCTAATACGCTACTTTGAAGTCATTTTTTTATTATTTTCTATTTGTTTTATCATCATTTTATTTGATGGAGAGCATTGAAATTAGTAAATCCTGAAGTATATTTTCATGAAATTTATATTTCCTAATTTCTGATGATACTCTTATATGGTTTAGGTGATTAAATTTTGATGACCTCATGAGCTTATAGTGGACTCTTTTTCTGAAGGTTGAGTTTGAGGGTATCAGACTCCGGAATCCGGGAGAGCAGAAGGGGATCAACATCTAAAAATGAAGCTCAAGATATGGCTATAAGCGTTTTATGGCTACTGTAAAACACTATATCTTTGAGATTTTTCTCCTATATAGTTATTCTTGAGTTTTGGGTTCTTTTATCATCAAATTTCTTTTTTCTTTTTAATTTATTATTATTATTATTTTTTTTTTTAAAATCAATGTATTTGGGCACTTGGTTCATGAAAATTCATCTCCTTCTGTGCAGAACAGTGTCGGTGAATACTTCTCAATGGCCCGAGCAGCGAGCAGTGCTGGTGAATACTTCTCAACAAGGGTTCAGGTAGTCTTCTAAACTAACATGCCAGCCCATCAATATCCATATCATATGTTACAAGAACATGGAAGAAGGGACTAGGCCAATCCATAAATATCCACATCATGTAACTGAAACATGGAAGAAAACTAGAAAACCATCTATATACCCACGCATATACTAACATGCTTAAAAGAAATAGGGCAGATGACGATTGATGATATTGATGACTGAGCTGCATTAATACATCCAAGAGTCCTTCTGATTCTGGTTATTCATAGTAGTCTATTTCAGTTCTTTAAACTTAACAGAGAAGGATGGTAAAATTCATTGGTGGTCTATCAAAATTGCAAAAAGAAAATTTTATACGTCGGCTAATATGTTTGAAATTTAAATTTCTTATGAAGAGATGTTGGAAGGCAAAGCTTTGATAGTGGATATAGATATGCCATTGAAGACATAAGCTACATGCATTCAATTCAATGTTTTAATTATCACACTACACATGTTTACATACACCAACTAAATGAATAATGTTTCTTGCTTGTTCTTTTGTTCTGTTTTCACATGTTTTTATTATTTATCTTTATCACCTAATCTGAAAGACTCTGTCTTGGATTTAACTACTAGGACTCCCCGAGATCTATTCTAATTGAACGGACATCTTGTAAATCTTTATTGTCATTTTATGGAGTACAAACTTGGAGGATGTATTAACATTTGTAAAGGATGCTTTCTAATAGATAAATTGAGTTCCTTTTGAAAGTCTGAATAGGCCACACCTCAGGTTGCTCTGGCAATTATCTATCTGTTCGTTTATTTTCTTGCAAACCATTACTGAAAGGTGCATATAAATTTTTTTTTTTGCAGGATTTTGACAAAAGGTAGTGTTATTTATTACAGATGCATAACAAAATTGGTATTTTGTTCACATTGGCTGGTTGTGGTTGCAGAGGACATATATATTGCGAAAACATCTATCAACAATGTAGAAGTTGGTGATCGTGGTTGGTACATAGAACAAAGCTTGTGGTAAAGGTTACTTTTCATTTGTAAAACTCTTCTGCTCCAATTTAGTCTGGTTTTTTCGTCCGCATTTTAACTTTTTAGGAATCATTCGTACATAGAAGTTGGTTGACGATTTGCTTTGTATAACTTCGCATTAGTTTTTTGTATTGTTTATTTGGTTCATTTTATTTTAATACTATTTATTATTTTTAGAGGCTCTTCTACTTATTTACACATTAAAGGGGGTGTATTTAATTAGGATTTTTAAGAACTTTTTAAGACTTTAGAATCCTGGTGTATTCAATTTAGATTTGTTAAGACTTTTTAAAACTTTTTAAAATCCTGGGGTATTCAATTGGGATTTTCAAAAGTCTTACAAAATCCTGAGGTATTTAATTTTTTTGACACTAGGATTTATTAAGACTTTTTAAGATTTTGTGGGATTTCTAAACAAAAAACCTTATATGAAATCCCACTTCAAATCCTACCTCCGGACTTGAGATTTCATAGAATTCTTCTAAAATCTGAAAATCCTAGAAAGTCTCAAATCTCGAAAAGTCTTAAATGTTGGAGTTGGTTTTTGCAACAACATAGGAATGGATCTCGCAAAGTAATGAAGAAATAATTGATCTACCATTAGGGAACTCGCTAAACTATTTCTCGATGAGATCTTCGCTGAGCAAAACCAAAATATTGAAATACCATACCGGCAAAGCTTCTGATCATCAAATGAATAATAACACACTACTAACTAATTTCCTGTTGATGATGGGATTTGACTTTTGAAACAAGACATGAAATTAGGAATGCTATAATTTATTTTGGTGTCTGTTCACATATAGATTATTCTTGGTTATGTTGGATAAGTTTATGGAGTTCCTTCAGGAATTGCCAAAATATCATTGAGTTATTGTATAGTTGCCGATAGCTGCAGAAGTTGATCACATGGGAGAGTTCAGTAGTTTGTATTTATTGAGACATGCATATTTGTGTGGGTATGTATGTGTGTGTGGTTCTTATGTATAACTTAATTTAATGTCTTTTATGTTAAAATATATATATTATCTTTGTATATGGAGTTACTAGAGTGTTGAGCTTTTATGGAACTCTTCTCTTCACAACTTTAAAGAAGATGAATTCAGAGTGCAAGGTATAATACCGATAATAAGAGAGGATCTAGAGGAAATGTCAAATTAACAGACGTAATATATGTAAAGAGCTGCAACAACTACCCAAAAAGTTGTGTAATGAGGCCTTTATGATGAAAGATTATTTTGCTGACAAGTAGAGTTGAAAAGGATACGGCTTTTTAGAGCACCTAAGTGTAATTATTTTGTCAAGCTTTAGAGAGCCTGTTATTGTGTTGGATATTGGAGACTTTATATGTGTACTCAGTTGAAGATTTTATTCATAAAATGAGAAATTAAAATACATTATATACAACTAATGCAGAGAGGGTTTTATAGCTCATTCAGAAAAACCAACAAAACTAAAAAATTCTGGCTAATAATTATGAATTAAAATTAACATATTGAATAAAATTTAAATTTCAGTCAGCTATATCGAAACAACATATTTTGCTGTTATTAATTTAAATTGTGCAAGAATTACAATCCTATTCAGACAGTATAAGAAAGTAAAATTTTGTCAAAATTTATTTAACATAAACTTTATTTGTACCTAATTTAAATTCCATTGATCATTTCAAGATTTTCACTAGATTTTAGGCTAAATTTGAGCCGGCCGTGCATGAGACAACTGCTTTATATTTATTATTATTTGTAGATATAATATATATATGTATATTCTGTAAGTAATTAAGGAAATGCTAGGGTTTTTTTTTTCTCTCGTTCTCATTCTACCGCGCCGCTCTGTCTGTCTTCTGTTCTCCTCGCCCCATATCCTCTTCTCAAATTCATCGAACCGACCAACCCCACGCCACCAGGCACCACCGCACGTCCGCACCAGCCACTGTCCTCCTCTCCTCCGACCGACACAGTCCTGACGCAAAGCCTCGGTTCAAAGGCTTCGCAATCGCGCCTCCCCGTCTTCAAGATACCGCCTCCGACGCCTCGCCGTCTCCGACACATCGCGCGGCCCCCACCTACTTGACGCCGGCTCCACTTTGCAGATTTGAAAGGTAATTACAATTGAAGTTGAATTCATTTTTCTCTGTGAAAAATCAGAAAAATTCATTTTGCTCAACAGATTCGTCTTTGAGATTATTCTTTCTAAAAATCTCTACTTTTTCATACCCTTTTTCCAATTTTTGTAACCTGGGGCTTTTTCATTCTAGCTTGAATAGTTTCACAGAATTCACTTGGTTATTTTTGTGCTTTTTTAATTTTTTATACTTTATTGGCTTTGTGAGTGGCATTTGGATTTATGCTTTTGTTTGATGCTCTACTGTTGGTATAATTAGTGTTTGAATGTTTTATGTGATTAAAGCTGGTGCAAGCTTGGGAAAAAAAAGGCGGGCCAGGGCGGTGCGGCATTCCTGGACCCGTGACGGGTCATGGGCCAGGTTGGGGTGCAGGAGGTTCGGGTACTGAACTACCCGCTCCGACCTGCCCCATTGCCATCCCTACGTTTTACAACTTGAAGCTGATTTATATTAATATATGGAGTTAAGCTTTATGACTAGTGAACTATTTTTTTTTTCCGTCCAGAAGTAGTTATATTTCAAGCTTGAAGATAAAAATCAAAATCACCTTTTTTCTAATGTATTTTGCTTGTTCTTTTATTATGCGTCATCGGGTTGAAGTACATACCACCATGGAAGAGTTTATTATATTTTGTGTTGATTAATGCTGAATGAAAATTTTCTGGTTCAGGCACCTTTGACTAAGAGGCAGTGCTTCTTGTTGATTGTTGCAGGATCTTTATCACGCTTTTTCTTAGATCACTTGTTTGAGGTAATACTGCAGTTAATATGTCTGTCTTCCTTACTGTTTTATCTGAGTTTATTGTTAAAATACTCACTCCACGGTATTTCTAACCAAATTACAGCATTTACTGTTCTTTATTCAGGTTGTTTGAGTGTTTTTAGCTCTTAAACTGCACCTTTTTCTCTAGAGTTTTCATGTCTTGATATACCTGTACCTCTTAGAAGCTCTGTCAAAGTACTTCTTCTGTATGGTTAAATGATTTCTCAGGAAAATGGACATTCTTCAATGTATACATGGATATTGAGCACCGGTTGGTGGAAAAATCGAGCTCCAATTGATCCAGATGCATTATAGTTATTGGCCTCTTGTGTGCGAGCTTGATCGGAGGTTTTATTTATATCTACTGAATGTGTGTTTCTGATGTAGAGAAGCGTACGACTGGGAAGAATAAACGAGATACTCTCTCGCTAAAACTCACAAAACTCAATCAATTTTTATTTTATTCAAAAATCAACTATCTAAAACAATAATAGATAGAGATAGAGAGTTCTTTGAATAAGGTTCCTAAACTCTATTTTGAATTTGTCCAACAAGACGAGATCTTTCATAATAATATTTAATTCCTAACTTATTCTCCAAAATAATAATAATAATAATAATAATAGTCTACACCATTCTTCCCCGGTTCGGAAGGTTTCGCATTAAAAAGCGATGCGAACCCGTGGCCGGCGTGTGGTGTCGAATTCATGGTAGGAAACCCCCGTCGTTTTCCTCGGTCGAACTCGAAGGTTGAACGACTTTGTGATCTACGTTGGCGAGCCACAAAATCCTCTGCTGCGCGAATGACTCTTTTCCTCTCCTCCACTTGAGTGACCCGGCCAACCCAAACAAATACTTCGAAACCACAATCCAATAAATAACATTTTTTGTTTATGAGAATCGATTTGGAAAGTGAACCATCGTCAACAATGGCAACCTCACACTTCCCAACTGCTTCAACATATATAACCGCGTGTCTTCTTCAGGTTTCAGATGCAACACCACCTTCAAGGGTTATGAAACATGGATTAAAAGATGACAAAAATTTGTCAGAATCGCGCCCTTGGAATTCTGTATACTGCACAACACGGCCACCAAGAATCACATCGAGTTCAATGGTTGCTTTTCTATTGAAAACACTCATCCGCACTTGCTTTTCTATTGAAAACAGTCGTCCACACTTGATATTGCAACATATTATTATAAATACCAAACACATAGATAAGTTGTAGGTTTCTGCGATGTGCAATGTATTTCATTGTTTTTAACAAAATCATAGAACAAATTAGATTAGTCTAGATTAATTCATATAACACATCCTTCTCAATGTACTTCAAAACAAAGTAGATAAGTCAAACTTAATCCATCTTGTAATCTTTATGAAAGTATTTCATGAAAGAAGACAAAAGCGATATTTCACATGACATGACATTATAAATGTCAATAAGGAAGATGAGTCAGAATGCTGAAATCATTAAGTCGAATCCTCTCACAGGATCCCTATCAATCTTAATGAGATCATCATTCAATTTAAAGTCCACATATGAAAGTATGGACCCTACAATGCCTAATGGCATGCAAAAGATCGAGGGGTGCAAATTTGTGGAAGGATCGTGCCTCAACTCAGCTGCGAATGTCGATGGCAGTGAATCATTCGGGTCTCGAAAAACAGTTGAAATTTTACCAATCTCTTGCGTCCCCTAGACTCCCAAGATAATTCACGTACTCATACGTGTCGACTAAAAATTGTAGCCTTTTGTCCGATGTCCAAAAAAAAGGATGGTTTACAATTTCTTGGGTTGAAAAAAAAAAAAGAAAACAAATAACACAAAAGATTATAAGGTATAATTGATGTCCTACTATAGCTCATAAAATAAAAATTAAATTCTCAACTCACTTTTTCAAAAGATGAGTAACTAAATGTTTGACCTCTGCTTCAAAAATCTTCATTGAAGCTGTTGATCCCACAAACGTTTGATTACCAAGCTCACGTAATCCTCGGATGATATGAGAGCCAGAATCAGATTCAAGGTCATTCAGATCCTCTTGCACACCTTCAAAAAATTTGGCCACAGCGTGGGCCAAATCTTCAACATCACTCGTCCTCTCTCTTGTTTCTGGTAAATCTAAAATAGAAATAGAAATTACTCATGTGTTGGTAAATCTTAAACAAAATGGCAATTTAAAACATTTGAAATTACTATAATAATCTTACTTTTCGAGGTTTTAATGCCTCCTATATTGAGTTTTAGAAATTCATCCGTGAACACAAAGGATTTACAGTCCTTTAATCCGACATGATAACATCCACGCTCTTGGATGAAAATCAAAGCTTCTACCATTTGCGTTAAAATGTTGCGTGTACTCCGCAAGTCAGTGTTTGTAGCTATAAAAATAAATCACTCGTAGTTTAGGACTACCAAAGCATCTCGTTCATCTTTTGTGCTAGTAATATTCGGATGAGATATAAAGCGTTCCATAGTGGAACCTCAAAGTCAAATATGATGTCTCTTTCAGCTTATTCCAAACACCAAACAGGTGTTTATTTTATCTAAGATGTGTTTTGTGTTTATTCTGCCTGTTTGGTGTTTGGAGTAAGCTAAGACAGACATCTTATTTGACTTTGAGGCTCCACCATGGAGCGCTTTATATCTCATCCGAATATTACTAGCACAAAAGATGAACGAGATACTTTGATAGTCCTAGACTACAAGGGATTTATTTTTACAGCTACAGACAGTGCTACTGTCTTGCGGAGTACACGCAACGTTTTAATGCAAATGGTGGAAGCTTTGATTTTCATCCACGAGCGTGGATGTTATCATGTTGGATTAAAGGACTGTAAATCCTTTGCTTCACGGATGAATTTCTAAAACTCGATTTATGAAGCATTAAAATCAAAAGGTAAGATTATTATAATAATTTCAAATGTTTTAAATTATCATTTTGTTTATGATCTACCAACACAGGAGTAATTTATATTTCTATTTTAGATTTACCAGAAGCAATGTAGAGGACGAGTGATTGTTGAAGATTTGGCCCACGCTGTGGCCAAATTTTTTTGGGAGGGGTGCAAGCGGACCCGAATGACCTTGAATCTAATTCTGGCTCCTAACGTTGGACTGCCTAAGCTTGGTAATCATACGTTTCTGGGATCAGCACCTTCAAAGAAGATTTTTGAAGCAGATGTCAAACATTTAGTTAATCATCTTATGAAAAAGTGAGTTGAGATTGCATTCTTGTTTTATGAGCTATAGTAGGACACAATTGTACATCTTATAATCTTTTGTGTTATTTGTTTTTTTTAGGCCTCTGCCCAAGAAATTCTAAAACATGATTTTTTTTTGGACATCGAACAAAAGGCTACAATTTTTAGACGACACGTGTGAGTACGTGAATTATTTTGGATAGTCAATGAGATTGGCAAAGTGTCAACTGTATTACAGGATCCGAATGATTCACTGTCCTCAAATGTTTGCAACTAACTTGGGACACGATCCTTCCACAAATTTGCAACCCCTCGATCTTTTGCGTGCCATTAGGCATTGCAAGGTCCATTCTTTCATAGGTGGAGGCTTTAAATCGAAGGATGATCTCATTGAGCTTGAAAGGGATCTTGTGAGACAACTCGACTTAATGATTTCAGCATTCTGGCCTAACTTCTTTTATTGGCATTTATAATGTCATATCATCTGAAAGATCGCTTCCGCCCGCCTTCTTTCATGAAGTACGTCCATAAAGATTACAAGGTGGATTAAGTGTAACTTATCTAATTTGTTTTGAAGTACATTGAGAATGATGTGTTACATGAATTAATCTAGACTAATCTAATTTGTTCTATGATTTTGTTAAAAACAATGAAGTACATCGAGGAAAGCTGCAACTTATCTACGTGTTTGGTGTTTATCTTAATATGTTGCAATATCAAGTGTGGATGAGTGTTTTCAATAGAAAGCTAGTTTCTGTTTCATTGTGGAATGATAGATGATCATAACAGCATACACACACACAAATCTAAGGATCAAATTATACTAGTGAACACATAGCACACACACACAAACCTAAGGATCAAATTATACTAGTGAACACATGACATATCACATCTCGTAACCATGACATAAGTACTCTCATACAACAATTGTAGTAAAGTCGTACTTTTGTCCAAATGAATTCACATATGCCTATTTAGGATAACTAATTAAAAAACATGCATGTATGTCTACTTACTTTGTTGCATTGCAGGTCCCCTCGTCATCATAAGATCACTCAAACCCGAGCCCGCTGAGGAACAGAGTACATAAAAGTAGAGTGTAACAGAGTACAAGCAATGATATCTTCATCTGCACTCTAATTTTTTTGTTATCTTAAATTCAGTCTCTCAAGTGAAAGTGATCCATGAGATGGTGTATAATATCGATGAAGCTGCTGATCAATGTCGACGAGGAGACCGGGAAGATCGTCGATGCTTGTTTTAAGACCTTCGGATGCCGTTCTGCTATCGCCTCCTCCTCCGTGATTGCTGTGAGTGATGAAGTTAGTAATTGTGTTGTCTGTCGTTAATATATTGTTGTGGATTGTCTGAAAATCTAGAGGGTTTCGGAAGTTGTCTGAGTTCAGGATTGATTTGGTGTTTTGTGGAGATGGGTGAACTGGATATGTGATTTGTTCAAGGGTTTATTTGTCACTTGACTGATGGTTTGCTGATTTTTTATGCATGTGGGGAGTTAGTTTTATTCAATTGAAGTGGATTATAATTGATTGAGTTGTTACAGATTAATTTAGATTTGAAGTCACTTATATATGTAGGTTTGTATGTCTTGAAAATGTTAAGAGCGTGAATGGTCTATAGCTGGTGCCTAACCCTTTTTCCATCTCGCAAAGGTAAATTAACTAATCATCAATTAAAACTTGCCAATCACTTCCAATAATAATAATAAAAAAAATAAAATCTAATCTTTCCACAGATTGAGCAACAAGCTGGGCCTGTAGGCCACTGTATCAGCTGCAGCCTCTTTCCTCAACAATGCCGTCAATCCCGTTATAGTCGGCGGGCCCAAGCTCCAGGTTACGAATGCGGGCCGGGCCTTTGTCCAGCTGGCAGACTCGTGCGGTTATGCTGTATCCGCCATGCCCTCCGCAAAAGGGCTCGTCCCTGAGCACCACCCGCACTTCACCGAACGAGCCCTTGAGGGTGAATGCTCTGTTTCAGCATATTCAGAAGATGCTTTCAGGCGAAACGGCAGTCATTGCTGAGACGGGCGATTCGTGGTTTAATTGTCAGAAGCTTAAGCTTCCCGAGGGGTGCGGGTAAAGTCGCGATTTTTCCTTTCTTTCTTTCGTTTGTTTGTTATTGTCGTTATTGTTGTTTTATGTATTTGGGTTTGAGATTTTCCAGTTTTAATAAACATATTTTTGTACGAGTTTCCATTTCGTTTTTTAGGATTCTTATTCGGGAATCAAAATACTCCATATATTGAACAAAAACATACGAATTTTGTGAATCTTTTAATCTCAACATATTATCTACCAATTTTTTATTTATGAATGGGTAGATATTGATGGATTTTGTTTATCAAGAGTTTAAAAATCAATGGTTTTTAAACTTTTGATGAACTGGAAATTTTGAAATCATACACGGGATGCATAATATGTTGAGAAGATGTTGGAGTAAATGGTGTGAATCCGAGCTTTTGTAAAGGTAAGTTATACACAATCGACGGAAAACAAGTTGTTTTCATTTGATGCTGTTGATTATTGAATGTTTTGTTTATTCGATCTCACTTCACATTATATAATATGTTTCGTTGGCATGTGTTTATACGGTTCTCGATTAATTAGATAGCAAATAGGAAAATTCTATGTGCTTTGACTTTATTGTAATTCATCATGATGTATCACTATTTGACTGGAAGTATGAACATATTTGTGGATACGATCTTTTTACCCTTTCTAAACACATGTTACATCATCAAACATGATGTTATGAAAAAGAAAACATGGTTTGTCCTGTCAACTGGGGCTTGCATGTTAAAGTAAGTGAAGAATTTTGAATTTTCATTGCAACTTAGAAGCTTTATTATGACATTGGACATTTTTGTTTTGGATTTTGTTATCTTAGCGGACATTTTTGTTTTGGGTTTTAGAGCTGGTCACCGCAAGTCGCTTCGTCCTGTCAACGGGGGGCTTGCATTTTAAAAGAAACTAAACCTCGTTCGGCATCTTCGCCATCGCAGCTATCTTCATGATCAAATCACTTGTTGGGCAAGCACCATTGTTCGCCGGCTTGGCCAGTGGTCGCCGGTCTAATGAGCTTGCTTTGCTTCGTTCGCCGAGGACGGACAGCTAAAACCCAAAACAAAAATGTCCACTAGGATAATAAAAATAAAAAAAAAATGTCCACTAGCATAGTAAAGCTTCTAAGGTGCAGCCAAAACTCAAAATTCTTCGGTTACTTTACAAAAAGATATGAAATCAAATCAACTGCCTCTTTTTCAAATATTGGCTTTCCAGCCGCCTTTCCCAAAAAGTCTTTTTTTTTTTATACAATGGTAGTCCTCTAACAATTGGTTCCAAGCCAATTCCCACATGGTTTGGGACAGCTCAGAGCCTCAGAAAAATTTGGCCGGTATAATGATCTTCAACATCTTTCCCTTTCTGTCGTGTGGGCAAATCTAACAAAAAATTATCCAAAGCGTTGAAACACAAATGACTCTCGTGTTGGTAATAATAAAAATTACCAAACACTTAAAAGTAAATTACTCAATAACCTTTCCTTCTATGGTCTTAACCCCTCCAATATTGATCTCTAACAAACCAGTTACGTTCGTAAACATGAAAGAATAACAACTATGCAACTCAGTATGGAAATATCCACCTTAGTGGATAAATGTTAGGGCCTCTACCATTTGTGTCAGTGCCTTTTTTTTGTGCTACGCAGGGTACTATTCGGATGTGAAACCGGTAGTATGTCAACCCATCTTTAGCTACAGGTTCCCTAGTGATGTTCGGATGTGACTGAACGCATTTCATGGAGGTGGTGGCTACCTCGCAGATGAGATTTTAGAGTTTAGGAATTTACTCCTCAGAAGTCTAATGGGGTGATTTAGCGGGACTCACCTCAGAAAGAGAAGAAGTGTCGCTTGCACTTTATATTTTGTCTGAAAGCTTTCATTTTTTTTTTTTTTAAAACGGTAGATTTTATAACTCGAAAAAACAAGATGTACAATCCGGTTAAAGAACTCGCTAGAAATTCCAAAAGGAAAACAAGAGAACACCAGAAGTGCACTACAATTCGTGGTAATTTATTTAGACAAATGTCATGATACACTGTAAAATAAATATACAATTATATATTATAACATATAAAAAATATATATTATTTAAACCGGTTCAACCACTGGTCCGACCATTGAAACGGTAGCTTCACCGGTTCGATTTTCCGGAAGGTCTTCCGGTTAAGAGCGAGCCAAACGAGCCCTTGAGGGTGAATGTTCTGTTTCAGCATATTCAGAAGATGCTTTCGGGCGAAACGACAGTCGTTGCTGAGACGGGCGATTCTTGGTTTAATTGTCAGAAGCTTAAGCTTCCCGAAGGATGCGGGTAAAGTCGCGTTTTTTTTCTCTTTCTTTCGTTGGATCGTTTGTTATTATCATCATTATTATTGTTATGTATTTGGGTTTATTGTTTTGAAAGTGATGTGAGTAAATGAAAGATGGTTTTGTAGATACGAGTTTAAAATCCAGTACGGTTCGATCGGGTGCTCAGTCGATGCCTAGAAAACGAGTCATCACTTGCATTGGCGATGGTAGCTTTCAGGTGACTTTTTTTTTCGCCGAATAAGTAGTCGAAAATTATGCATTTTTCCAGCAGAAGCAAAAAAAATAGGCATTTTTTTTTTAGAATAAGTAGTTAAAAATTAGGAATTTTTCCAGTAGAAGCAAAAAATTAGTCATTTTTTTCGAATAAGTAGTTGTATATTAGGCATTTTTTCGAATAAGTAGTTGAAAATTAAGCATTTTTCCAGCAGAAGAAAAATTAGGCATTTTTTTTTCGAAAAAGTAGTAAAAAATTAACCATTTTTTCGAATTAGTGTAGAAAATTAGCCATTTTTCGAATAAGTATGTTGTTTAAGGTCGTTAACTTGTACGAATGTTTTGTCAGGTCGATTTCTTCGTGCAGGTGACAATGCAAGACGTATCGACTATGATTTGAAACAGGCAAAAGAGCATCATTTTCTTGATAAACAATGGCGGGTACACGATCAAGGTAGAAATCCACAATGGCCTGTATAATGTGATCAATAACTGGAACTACACTGGAGTAATCGACGCCATTTGTAACGGCGAAGGCAATTGTTGGATTGAAACTTTACATGTTCTTGGCGGATATTTTTTAATTTATTTTATTATTATTATTTTTTTGGTAGGTGTATTGTAAGGAGGATCTTATTGAGGCTATAGAGACAACAACTGGAGAGAAAAAGGTTTGCCTGTGTTTTATTGAGGTGATTGTTCACAAGGATGATACAAGCAAAGAGCTTCTTGAGTGGGGTTCAACCGTTCAAGGGTCTCTTCTGCTAATAGTCGCCCCCAAAATCCACAGTAAATTAATTAATTAGTAGTCGTTTATTATTGTTTAGTGTTGAAATTTATAAGAATTTTTCTGATGGGATATTGTTAGCTTCATTGTTTGAAGGGCTAGTTTATGAGGTTTGATTTTGGAATAAAATAAAAGTTATTGTCAGTTGATTTATTGAATTTTGGTTTACTACATCGTTGGTGATTGAAATGTTTGATGGGTTGTTTCTTGTAATTTTCAATGTTTAACCTTTTCAAAAAATCTTGTATTTTCAGTTTTCCACTTTAACAAATGACCCCACTAATACCTCGATTCGGTTCGATTCGTTATGGCGCAAGCTATCTAGGTCGAGTTAGTTTGATAAATGAGTTGAGATCGAATTCATTTAATGCTAAATGAGTCAAGTTTTAAAAATATAAATTTTTGCATAATTTCATGAAGTTTTGACGTAATTTAGTTGGTTATGACCTAGACTCGACTCGTTAACTAACCGAGTCTAATTAGGTCCAACTCGATTAGTTTAAAACTCTGTTTACAATTATGTGAAAATATATCAGAACTCGAGAGAATAATTTAAACATATTTTTATAATGTAAACATAAAATTAGCTAAACCACAAAGATGTTTCTTCGTTAATAATACACACATTAAATTTCAGACACCAACAAAATGATTCATTCTGATAATATTCTACGAATTAATAATTTGAACTATTAAAAAATAAACTAAATTACAAACAAAAATTAAAAAAGGGACATGTTTTGCCCAAACTAACTTTGACCAGCCGACCAACACAAAATCCACTCGCCTTCCTAAACGCAACTCAAATCGCAAAGCGCGATCAGAATCTGCACACCAGAGCATGCCGGGTCCGGGCCCACACATGATCTACGCGCTCGGGTCGGGTCAGGGCCTGATGCACGTATCGAACGGGAGATTCGGCCCGCACCACTGCGTCACATACGCCGTCAACGCCTTCTTCGGGCCGGACATCGGCTCCTTCTCCGAGTGGTTGACCTCGACACTGGGTTTGGGCCGGGTCTTCGGATCCTCCGTCGAGACCTGGATCCACGACCCGTTTTACTACGCTCTGATTCTGGGCTTCCCTTTGGCACTACTCTACAGCTGGGTCTCACGAATTATGGTCCAAAAGGGTGTTCTTGATTCGTTCTCTGGGGTCAGTGTGTTTAAAGACTTGAGCTTTGAGCTATCTTTTGACTGCCTGTTATGAAATTTTTCTCTTTGGTCGTTGGTTTTGCTCAATTTAGTTGCTCTCTCTGAAATTCAGTGTGTACACTTATCGATTGCTTAGTTTTGGGAACTTGCTAAGTTCTTCTTTTTCGTTTCTTATTTTTTTTTTCTTTTTTGTTGCTTACCCTGTTCAATTAGAGGTTTTCCTAAAGACTTTGGGTGGATTTCACCAGTGGCAGATTATCATCTAAAGTTTAATAATAAACTAGTGATAGTATGGGGTTTAGAAATATTGACATTTAGGGGAACATTTGGAGACAAATCGATAATGGGAATCATAAAAGCAATTCTTGTTTTACCTCATTTAAGTTTCTTATCTTTATTTAGTGAGCCGGTGGAAATAAGACTTCAAATAAGTTACTGATTGGATTAAAAGGACTCACTCAATTTCTGGTGTTAGAGTAGTTTCTAAATATCCAGTTGTTATGTATGTATTACATGCTTAGCATTGTTGTAGATTCGTGTAGATTTACTTGTACTTTTTGTTTATCGGTTTATACACATCAAATCCTCCCGTTGTATAGCTTGAAGCTGATTTAGATCAATCTATGGAGTTAAGTCTACTGAATTAACTGTGCTTGAAGATGAAAATCAAAAATACCTTTTCCTAATGCATTTTGCTTGTTCTTTTATTATCCATCATCGTGTTGAAGTACATTTCACCATGAAAGATTTTATTATATTTTGAGTTGATTAATGATGAATGAAAATTTTCTGGTTCAGGCACCACTGACTAAGAGGCAGTGCTTCTTGTTGATCTTTGCAGGATCTTTATCACACTTTTTCTTAGATCACTTGTTTGAGGTAATACAATTAATATGTCTGTTCTTGCTGCTGATCTGACTTTATTGGTAAAATTCTCATTCCATGGTATTTCACTAGTTCTAACCAAATTACAACATTTACTGTTCTTTATTAAGGTTGTTTGAGTGTTTAGCTCTTAAGCTGTATTCTTAGAAGCTCTCTCAATTTACTTTTTCTGTATGGTTAACTGACTTCTCAGGAAAATGGACATTCTTCAATGTATACATGGATTTTGAGCACCGGTTGGTGGAAAACTCGGGCTCCAATTGATCCAGATGCCGTTTTAGTTATTGGCCTCTTGTGTGCGAGCTTGATCGGAGGTTTTATTTATATCTACAGGTTTAAAAAAAGAAAAAAAAAAAATCATCATTTGAATTTTAGAATTGGTGAAGTAGATGTTTAGTTTAACTTGCTACTTTGTCTTATAGGGTGAAGCACTTGAAATCGGTTAGAAAACAATATAGCAAATCATGGAGACTGATTTTGATAGTTGCGATCTTGTACTGCATTTGGTGTGTGAGCCAGAAAACAATATAGCTGATTTGGGAGTGCTCGTTTTCCTTGGGATTTTCTTTTTCTTCCCTCACGGGCTGTGCATTCTATCCATGAACTCGAAAGATGTTTTCGACTCCGTTCAACAACTTCCTCTTTGAAAAGGTAATCTAATTTATCTCACTTTCTGAGCTGTCCAAACGGCTGGGCCGGGCTGGGCCGGGCCCAGGCAAGAAATAGATATGTGTATACAATTTACAAAAGTTTGTTTGTTAGAAAAACCACGAGCTGTGTATCTTAGCTGGTTCTTTGTGTTTTGTTTAAATGACCTCAAATTGTGCAATGAGAATACTAAAATCGAGTATCAAAAGCCATAGTTGTGCATTACAGTCGACCGAGCATCGAATTTGAGGTCTTGAGCTCGAGCTCGATTTGTGTGAAGACCATTGATTTGTTACCGGGCTTTTGGGGGGGCCCGTGGGCTCTCAGCTTCTTATATTGAGTCTAGGATTAGTAGAATCCAAGTCTACGTATACATATTATAATAGACATTGATAAGGGTATATTTCATACTTTAGAAGCTAATCTATCTAATATCTATTAGTTTTTTGGGGTCTTCACAGCTTATTCTGGTTACAATTTGCCATGGCTCATTTTCATTTTCCTTTCGTTTTCGTCGATTTGAGCTGTCAACCGCCATCTGGCGTGTCCGTTTTTGTCGGACTTCGATTTGACCTGGTTTTCGGGCTCGTCTCCGTATTTGATAAATTAAGATAGTTTGTAGGGTGATTTTTAAAAAAATTAAAGTTTCTGGGATATAATTGCAAAATGGTGAAAATGGAAAAAGAAGGTTTGGATATAAGATTCTGTTTTTATGTGTTCTGTTTAGATTTATGTAATTGAAGTTATGAATGGATAGGAAAAAAAAATTCAGAAATTTTTTTTTGTAAAAATTCACTTCTTCTCCATAATCCCATCTGCACACAGCTTAAAAATATAAAATAATTATTGTTTAATATATTTTTTTACTAAAAATATTATTCATTCAATTATATATTTCTAAAAGTTTGTTTTTGTACTGTGGCTGATTAGGTGAATATTGGTTGGTACATGGCCACAATGTGAAAGCTTTCACCTGCAAATTGCAATGTCACGTGAACTTAACCCCACAAAGAGAAACACACCCAATTGCCAAAAATAGAAATAAATAAAAATAAATAAAATAAAAACTATTACATAGTAATATTGTATTTTGAGTGGATGATCAGTGCAAATCTCATTAAGATAATTCATAATTTACCAATAAAAGCTAATTTCTAGCATATTTCTAATTTCAAATTGATGATTACAGTTCCAAATAAGTGGTCCAATCAAACAATGGTCTAATAATTGTTTAAACGCTAGTTTAGTGAACATAAGTACAAAATAGACAAGCTGCTTTTGATATGCTCCCTTTTGTTGTGTATGGGCCTCCTAGTTTCCTGTGGTTAGGTGTAATTAATCATTAAT